CTTCCCTTCCTGTCTTTCAAATGACCTTGTACTTTCTTCGTGTGTGTGTGTGTGTGTGTGTGTGTGTGTGTGTGTGTGTTCATGACGCCATCCCACAGCTCATCGTGTCTCCTGTTATTAATGCATCACATTACTGAAGCGTCAGATGAACACATCAATCTGTTCTTGAGATGCTCCCTAACTTTAGTTGGCATATACCCAACTGAAGTTGTATTTTGGCTCTCGTGGACTTGTTTTAAATTTCTTCATCTTCAACTGGAACTTACAAATGAGTAATTCCTGGTCTGTTCCACAGTCAGTCCATGTTCTTGTTTGGCTGCTAATGTTGAACATCTTCATCATCTCTTCCCACAGATGTAGCAATTTGATTACTGTATATTCCATCTAGTGAAGTTCATGAGTACAGTTGCCATTTATATTGAAAAAATAGTTACAATGAAGACATCACTAATCTTATGAAATTCCATCATTGCAATCTCCACCTTCATTTCTTTAAAAAAAAAATACTTGTATTGGGGGCTCTTAGACCTCTGATTACAATCCAGCTTCATTTCTATTGCAAAGGCAATATTTTCCAACCACTATTCCTTCCTATTTGTTTGCAATTTTGGCATTCCAATGCATCTTGATTGCACGGTGGATCAATTGCAGATTGAAAAAGTTGGTAGAATCCTTTGATTTCTTCATCATTAGCTTTAACGGTTGGTGCATAAATGTAGATAATACTTGTATTAGCTATGCTGCATTGTAGCTGTACTCCTTTATCCTACCACAGATAGGCAGGACTCCAAACTGAATGAAACTCAAAGAAGGACACAGAAGGGAGGTGTTGGGCAGTGAAACAAGGACCAGGCCCCCAAGCACCACTTGTGCACTGGACAAAGAAGCCCAGTCCAGAAAACAAGGTTCTAAAGGAGGCACTGCTGGCCGAAATCTTACCAGTCCTTCAAGGCCCCTCACCTCTGCCAGAAGGCCCCTGGATTCCATCCAGCCACACTAGGGTCCTCCCTCCAGCCCTTCTTGGTTCTCCCACAGCCCTGTCAAGAGATATCTCAGGTCAGAGGTCTCCCAATGGCCTCATTGCATCCCTTAATGATGTTTCTCTGTTCACCACTTCCCACCCCAAGATTTCACTTTTCCCATGTCCTTCTTCAGAGCCTTTATCATAACAAATGTGATTAAAAGTAAACATTGGAGTGGGATACAAAGGAAATCTTTAGGATGCTGAGTGATACAACAGCTCAATGAAAATCCAAATATCTGAATAGCACTCTGTCCGCCAAAAGCCCTCTCCCTTCACGAAGTCTGAGGAGGAAAAGCATTCATTTGACAAGATATCAAGTTCACAATCAAGGAGGAACTTGCCGATTCTCTGGCTGGAAGAGATAAGACACAGAAACAGGAGAAAGGATTGGGAGTGGATTATCCATAGTGAACAGTTGTTTCTACCCTTTCGGAAGTTTGTATCTCTAGGGAGTACTGCATACTCTGTAAAATGATATACAATGATACTTGAATTAATGGATTCTCTGAACCATGAATCATTTTGTTGTTAAAAATAATCATCCTAAAAAAAATTAGAGAGCCAGGCAGCCAAACATACAAAATTGATGAAATGATACTTCCTCAATCCCCTTGGCCCTTCCAATGTCAAGGAGGAGGATGTCCCTGGAGTCCAAAGCTGTGGCATTCCAATGCCACATCCATAGGGTGGAAGGAAAGACCTTTACAGTCATTTTTAATAAGCTTATTAGTACATCTTTGCCAACAGCTACCCTGAATTACTTTAACAATACAGTTTGGTGCAATTTTCTGTTTAAACTAAAGGAAGACTTGACTAAGAGGAAAGGTAGAATTTATATATTTGATTTTCATGTTGAACACTAAGGTGCTAACACATAAGGTTATAAGAACAAAAAAATGCATGTTCTAGTTCAATAGAATCTTGTTTTAGATGAACTCTTTTTTTCTATTTTTTCTGTTTTGCTTGTTAATCTTCAACAGAGCCAGAAATGTTGCTGGGGACCAGGGAAAAGGTGCTTCTAGAGTTTGCCCTGAGGAGGAGTCAGTCACTGTCAAGTGAAAAAGAAACCCTTCTTTACTTGCATGTGGGACAGGTGTTGTTGATGTTTACTCAGCTGAATGCATGTGGGACCTGTGGAGACTTATCAACGGTAACATGTAGGAATGTGAAATGGCCAAGACGTCTTGTCTCCATTTTTACTTTTCTGACTTCTTTCCAGAAAATGTATGCAGAACAGAGGTGCGGGCACCCACTGGGGCTGCATGCCCTTCAATTCTGCTGATGCACAGAAATAGGGTTTGGGATTCACCATTTGCCTAAACTCACCCTAGTTTAATAGGACAGAGGACCAGAAGGAAAGCCATGTGACTAGCCTCAAGAAAGCGAGGGGACAGCACCTGCAAAGTGGCTGGTACAGAACCAGGGGGGCCTGCGTGTGGCACAGCCATGGAGGTGTGGGTGACGTGGGTGTGCAATCATTCATGCGACAGGAGGCGTGGTCCGAAGCTCTGCCTGCTGGTCAGATACTGAAATGAGAGGACAGGGCTGCCCAAACAAAGGACCTGATTCCAGACTCCCTTGCTACAAGCATGACCATGTGACCACATTCTGTCCAACAGGCTCTAAGCAGAGAAGTCAGGTGGCAGCTTCCTACATGCTGGCGCCTCTGGCTTTCTGCCCTGGGTCTCCCACCCTCCACCTTCTCTTGGATCCAGATGATGGTTTGGGCCCTGAGACCAGGCTCCGAGTGAGCTCGAGGGAGCTGGGTCAAGGGAACTTGGTGAGGCGGGGCTGTCACATAGCACTGAATGCATACTTCAGCGAGCGATGTGTCTTGTAAGCTATTAGTATCGGGGGTGTTTTGGGTTACTCATAATCAAATGTACTCATTGTACCATGATCAGGATGTTAGATTTTGTTTTTAGGTGTGAGGCCGGTGAATAGTTTGCAGCATCGTCCTGCTTCACCGTTTTAAAAATGGCCATGCAAGGTGCTGTTTGGAGAATGCACAGCGTGAGCTAAAATAGCTGTAGGGAGACCCTTACAGAGGGTGCTGCCTTCCCCAAGCCAAAGAGGTGGTGATTCTGACAGAGGGAGAGTGGGGCCCGGGGTAAAAGTAGAGCAGGGCCTCTGGGGTTGTACTTTTTTGTAGTACGTGGTGTTAGGCAATCCTTCTCAAGGATCAGGCCGAACTACAATGGTCAGATGCCAAGACAAGCGCTCTAACAGTGGTGACTGTGGGATGCTAAGGGAGAGGCCCTGCTCCTCACCGACTCTTGCCTTAGGACCCTTTAGGCAGGGCTCCTCAAAGGGGCAGCCCCTCAGCTAAGAGTAATTGTTTTGCCCACACCGAAGCTGCCGTAAGAGCAACTCAGAGAGGCAGTAGAATGGAGCTTTTTCCCAGGTGGATGAGCAGCTGTCAATCACATGCGACCATCCTTCCTGGAACCTTTGAGAAGGGCTCATGGTGCAAACACATGGAACCACACTGGCCGTTTCTCTTCACGGCCTCCTGGATTCGCCTCCCAGCCCTGGGAGTGGGCGCCTTGTTCCTAATCCCACCTTTCCTCTTTCCCAGCCACCCTAAAGGACAACCCTGCAGGCCATTCAGCCAACCCAGCCGCTAAGCCAGAGGGAAGTGAACATGCCTCTCCGCAGGTCCATGCAGAGCTAGTTTCTGAAGGAGACTTGCTCCTTCAGGTACCGTATGATATTACCTATCTCTGTTCCCTCTCAGTGGTCATGATGATGGCAGGACCCAGTCTCAGAGTTTGCGAGAAAGCACATGGCTTCAAGTCTTGTTAGATTTATCTTTGATTATCCTGTTGAATGTCGGATTGGAAACAGTCTTGTAGACCTGTGCCCTCAGAAACTTCACCTATCTGAACACTCAAGACAAAATAACGAATAAAGTTCTGAACTCATTGTCTTCTCTGCCTCTCCCCAGGCCCTTAATGGCTTCCTCGTGGCTGTTACAGAAGATGGCTATGTTTTTTATGTCTCTCCCACAGTCCAGGACTACCTGGGATTTCATCAGGTGTGTGACTGTCGAGGGTTTGGGGGCCTGGGGACAGGGAAGAGCGGCGTACATGCTTCTCTCTGCAGGGCTCTACATTGCAGGTATTGGGAATGAACTCTTCCCGAGCTTGGGTTTCCTCGCTTGCTGGAGGGTGTGTTATTCCAAGCCCTCTGAGAAGTCGATGTCATGCAGGTCCGAACCTTGGGAGGAGAAAGGGAAGGGGCCAGGGCCTCCCTGTGGAGATGTCCTGCCCGGAACGGTGAGCAGAGCTGCAGGAGGAAGAACAGAAAGAGGGACACGTGGGAGAGAAATCGAGGCCACAGGGAGGAGAAGGGAGAAGGAGACAGGAGCAGTGGGGTGTGGGATGGAAGCAGCCTTCAGCCTGACCTCTGCCTCTGGCCACAGCTCTTCCCGGCCAGTAGCTTAAATAGTAAGGCAGGGCACAGGAAGGCCTATTTGGGCTGTTGTGTCTTCACATTGTCTTTTCTATTCCTCCTTGACGGTCCCTCTGTAGCCCCTCGAGCTCAGCGCTTGATCTTAGCCCCTGTGCTGTGCTCCCTCCTGACCCATGTGATGTTCTTGGAACCCCTCCTGATGGTGGGCTTCTCTCCAGGATCTTCCTGTGACTTGAAGATCTTCGCCCTAGCTGCTCTTCACCCCCCCTTTGCTGGACCTCAGCTTGGAGGCCCGCTCGCCAGGTCCTGCAGCATTCTTGTCCTTCTGTAGATCGGACACCAGCCCCTTGTAAATGGTCATCACCGTCCTACACACTGGACCAGAGACGCACGCTCCTCAAGTCCCCTTTTCCTGTGTGCAGTGGAGGAAAATGGTTAAATAGGCGCCTATGGTTAAGCAGGCTCCTAAAAATCATCATGTATATGGAGGGCGGCAGTTGGGGGGATGGTATAAGAAAGGGTTAAAGGCAGGAAAAGTGAGGAGGAGGGCATTTTTTTTGAAATGGAATTGGGTCCAGCAAAATGTTCTATTGCTGACAGAGAACATTCAACGGCGCGTCTACTGATTCCCCCCAGAAGAATCCCAA